AGAGAGGCTCTGTGAGTCTGGTCCAGAAACTCTGAATGCATCTGGAGCTCTTTCAGTCTGGAGTCACTTTCTATTAATTAGTCCTGAGAAGCTTTACAGCCATTCCTAAAATAACGGGAGAAATTGCTGAAAGATACCCCCAAGACAGCTCAACGTTAGCAAACGTTTTTTCTTTGGAAGAAACAGGACTAGAGCTCCCTAGAGGCCTATCTGTTCAGGCAAGTACTGGCACATACCGGTCCCTGGAAGCTAGGTTGGCACAGCCCACCTCTAACCTAGAAGCCAGAAAATGTAGTGCTACACCTGAGCTAATAATAAAAAAAGAGAGTATCAGTTTGTGTGGAAGACCATGTTAATGCAGCTACGCAGTTCCTTCATAGTCAGACAACTCCAAAACGAGAGCACAGGAGCTCATGTATATCTGTGTTTATTTGTGCCTGCATTCGCCCTTGCAGAAGCATCTGTGGTATTCCTCAGTGCCAGAGGTCATCTTCTTGGCTGTAAGCAACCAGGTACAAGTGAGAGAAAGACAAGGCTCCTGGAAAGTTTACTGAGGATCTTGCTAGTTCTAGGATATGGTGATGCTTTGAAATTATTTTGAATTTACCAGCATTGCTTCTTCAGTGTGCACAAATCCTCTGAACTACATCAGTCCCAGACAACTTTGAAGAAAGATTACAATTTATTTTTCTCCTCTGCTATGCAGCTTTTTTCTGTCCCCCTCCCAATATCACAGGGTTGTTGTTCAGATCACCTACTCTGTGGCAGGCATTGCAACTGCTGTGCTGTCTAAATTTGAAGGAGCAACAGAAGTCAGATCGCCTGCTGTCCATGGGTGTTAAATTTTGGCTTCCTATACGGACAATGAAAAATAGTTGTGATATCTAAATTAGGCACCTTCAGTGGGCAATCTGAGTACAGAACAGCATCTTCCTGTAAGTCAGTATAATTTCTCAGCCACCCTTAAGACTTAGCTGAACTCTGAATGGTCATGCAAATCCTCTCATTTAAATGGCTATCATTTGAAAAGAAAGTTTTTGCAATACATTTCAGTTTTTTGAGTTGTAACGACCCAAGAATGTGCAGCAACAGCGTCGTAAAATGCAGTGCTTCTCTACCCAAGACACATGCGTTATGCTCAGTAGCTATGGGGCTAGCTCTTTCAGGATGTTGCTCGTAGCAATGAGAAGGATGGTGCTGAAGTATGGTCTCCATACAATAAATGGCATGAGCCATGCACATTTCCTCCCAGTGTGAAACTGATTTGTTGAAGAGAATAAATGCCCCCTCCTTATTTGTGAGACTCTCTGCTCATTGCTCGTGTTTAGTTGTGGCAATCCTAACATTCAGCATCCAAGCAACAGGCACTGCTGCAAAGAAGAGAATCAGTCCCCTACCATAGAGTAGGGAAGGTTTATGAGGTATATGAAAGGTCTAAATTCAGCATCTGGCAATCTTCATACAAATGACACATTGCCCTGTTTTCCATGTTTGACTAATATTATTGTAATTCAAATAATTTCTTTCAGATCTTAGCTCTTCATTGTAATGCCCATGAGTTCTATTAAACTTCTGAATTCCCCCTTTCAGTTCCCTTTCTCTTTCTGCTATGCCCACTTCTGCTTCTCTATTTAAATTTCTCTAACTTCTTTTCCAGTCCGCATTGTGATCCTGCACCACCTCTGGTAGCCTGTGGCTCAGTATTCACACTAGGAGAACGGTCAGCTGAATTAACTGAATTCATTTAATATGTCAGTAAAGACAGAGCAGCTTGTACTTTTCACTATATTTAGTAGAGCAAGTAGAGCAAGAGTTCCAAAGTTACCTACATCCTTCAGTTCCACAGAAACCAGATTTCAGGTGCTTTAAACTAACAAGAGTGAAGCCTTTCTGCATCACTGGTTCAATGTCCAGTGTCCATAGGTATCTATATATTCTCCTCACAGCTTTCTGAGGCACTTTAAGTCTCACTGCTGCACATGCGCAGATGGGTTACTATTCTGTGTGAACAATGCAAAGGCAACCTTGAGTTCATTCAAAATACTAAGCAGGAGGAGGAGGAGAGAAGATAGACTGAATCTGCACAATTGTGCAGAGGTTGGAAACACTTACCAGGAAGTGAAAGGCGTTCCTTCTTAGTCTGAGGCCGTTTCAACTCCCTGTAACTGTATCTCAGCAGAGCTCACCAACTATAAGTGAATAGGTAATAAGATGTGTGCTGGAAAGCGGACGGGTATTCTTCCCATGTACTGATACTACATAACTGTCATCAGGACCACAAGACTCATGGGGCCGGGGAAGGAAATTGGCAGAAGGTGCTTGTCTTTGTGGTCTAATATAGAAGATATTCTTATAGGAGCAGGAGGCCTCCATATTAGGCCCTGCCCTTGATGTTTCTGATGCGTTGTTGTGTAATCTAATCACTGGCACAGAGATGTCCATCTGCCCATGGGACTGTTTGTGTTCAAAGAAGGCCTGAATCATCAGTTTCTCATTTCTCCCTCCCTTAACCTTTCCTTCTTCTTCATTTTGGACTGTCTTTGGGCCTGAACTGCTTTTATTATGTTGCATATACAACTTTCATGAAGAGCCATTCCCAGCCTTTCCAAGCTGAAGTCACACAGTATCAAACTGCTCCTCAGACACACCTCAAATCCAAGGCACGGAAGTCCGAAGGCTGTGAAAATACTAGATTTTGGCCAAGTCTAGTGAGGCCATACCTGGGACAGGGCAACAGTCTCTTTCCTCCATTTGGTCCAGGTTGTAATTATGGGTGTTCCAAACTAAGACGCAGGCACTGACTTCAGTGAATTCACTGATTCTGTGATTCTGTGATTCTGTGAATTGGGGTCCAAAATCTGTTACAGATCCATGGCAAAAATCCTTAATTATACGAATTGTTTGCCTTGGAATAGGCATAGGTACAATGTAAAATGGTTCACTGCTAGTGGTGGAGAAGAGTCTGATAAAAATTTCTTCAGGTATCGCTGGAGGGAACACAGGGTCAGCCTGTAACTTTTTCAGTTTTACATAGGACTGAGTCTGCCTTTCATTTTGATTCAATTATATATTAATTGATATGAAACAGACCACTCGGAGCTGAAAGCACTTTAAGAAAGATAGGGTAAAGTATATACCAAGTCATCCCATCACTGCAGCAGAGCCACAAGCTGTCCAACAGAACAACATAATGTAAAAGACATCATATTTCTTATTATTTTATCCCATCCCCAGTTCCTCTGCTATAATCCAGATCACTTTCCACAAAGTACTGGAGTCAAGCCTCAGTCTGATACATGAAGTTTCTAAGGCAGGATGATGAGCAGGCATGGAAGTAAAAGGGAAGCCTTCCAAATCTAAATACGTTGCTGTAAAGTTGAATGAGCTGAAGTCCTTTGCCATACCGAGGTCCACTGCAGCAGTCACAGACCGTAAAACTACAATGGAAGAAAAACAAGTCAGAAACTTTGCATCATACTCCTAAGACTATATACACACCCATGGCAGTTCAACTTCTTTACTGACGAATGCAAATTAAAAAATTATCTGGCCTCAAAATGATTATGGTTCTAGGCTGGAGAAGGAGCCTGAACTTCCTCAGCTCTCCTTCAGCACAGGCCTACTCTATTTGAAAAAAGTAATTACTCTAGCCTGAACGCACAGTCTGCATGGCCCAGATGCATCAAAAATAGAAAGACGCAGTGAACTTTAAGGGTGGGGAAAGGGAAGGAGAGAGGAATTCTGCAATTTCCAGAAATGGAGCTGACATCATTTTTGTCTCAGCCATAAGCTTCAGGTCAGTCTCACTGCTGCACAAACTTGCTTGACACTCAGCCAGAACATGAAGCTCCAGCACGCTTTGTCTGGAGGACAGGTGACAGTGTAAAATTCTAGCAGCGTTAAACAGAAGATAGTATTTGCACACAGCATCTGATAAATCTCACTTAAATGTAGCTTTTCACATTCACTCAGATATACTCAAAATCTGAACTGAATATGCCTGCACGGATACACTGCACATTTTATATGTAACAGCACACCACTGATCAACATTAACTTAATGTGACACAGTGAAGTATGAACTACCACACTACTAATACTTGTAGAATTACTGATTGGGGCAAACTATGCATATTTCTCGCACTCAGCACTCTTGTGGCAGGCAAGGGATCAAGACATATTCTGCATTACTTACTCATCCAGTATGTTTTTAATATCTTCTGAGATGTCTGTGTATCTTTCCCTTAGATTATTTCTGGAGAAGCAAAGGGCAGCCAGATGAGTGAGCTTCTGAGGTTGGTTCTGACTCTTTTCATTCCATAACAAGGGATGTATGAAGTTATTTTCTATTCTGAGACATTTTAGTGGGAGATTTAAAACCCCAGATGGCAAAGCACAGAGCTGGTTCCCTTCAATGTTCAAGAATTCGAGCTGTCTGTAATGTTAAGGACCACCAAACATTTACCAGCTGTTCACACTATATCCTACCTTGATTATGGCTATATAATTTTGTAATTCCCCTTTGATGAACCACTAAACCAAGACACCATATATGTATAAAGAGCTATGTGTTTCTTACAGTACACTTTAAGTACTGAATGCAACTATACATATAGTATTTTTCTGAATATTATTTAAATATGTGGGTTATCTTTAAAGACAGAGCTGGGTGTTTCTAAATGCATTAGACATGTACGTAAAGAACATCAACATTGAGGACAGCAATGAACAACAGTCTCATGTATGAATAATTCCTTTTGTGTAGTTTCTACTGGGTGTTTTCTGTAGAGCTAGGTTTTAATTCTTACCTCACCATTTCACACTGCTTGAAAAGAGCCATAACGTGGTTTGGAGGTTCATTTTCTCTTTTCTCATCATACAAATCAAGTATATGTGCCAATAGATAGTCCAAATGAGAGAATGATCACATTTTGCATGGAAATATTTGACTTACAGCTATCAGGATACTTGTGAATATTGGCTGGCTCTACCCACAGATAATTCTTGTATGCAATTGTCATTCACTGTTTCTGTAAACATGAGCCTCCCACACAGGACAGGATTAAGAAGGGGGAGGAAGAGGGTGCCGTGAATCTTCCCCATGTATTCACTGATATAATTAGGATCAAAATGTGGTCTACAGGATTATGATGCAGAGATCTGTTTTCACTTTATGTTGCTTATATACCTGAGGTTCTTGATGTCATTGGGGATAAAGCTAATATCATTATAAGCAATGTCCAGATGATGGAGACTGTCTAATAAGAACAACCTACAGCAAAATAAAACAGAACAATGAGTTAGAAACACAGATGACAGAGAATCATAGAATAATTTAGGTTGTACAGGACCTCTGGAGGTCATCTGGTCCAACCCTGTAGCTCAAACCATTCTAACTAACTGCAATACAGTGCATAGGTCTTTATTTTTTTACCTAATATGAAAATGTATCATGGCTTAGCATCTTTTTAGCATCCAAAACCGTGATTCAGCTCTTGCATGAGCTGAAATAACCTCTGGAAGTATCTGTTTCTCCCCGTTCAGTGTAGATGCTGAGCTGGGTGTCTCAATTCAGTACTTAAAGTGAGGGGGATGAAGCTATGTCTCAGCATCCCAAAGTACTCCCAAAGTAAAGTTTATAGTGTAGTTCAGGATAAAAACCCTTGTTTATTCTTAGAAATGCTGCAGTCTCCTCACTTAGCAAAACGTGTCTTACCCAGCTGGAAGTTCTGATAGCAAATTGAAGGAAATGATGAATTTCTTCAGTGACTTCAGTCTGTAAATGTCATTAGGGATCTCTCTGATAGGGTTGTTTCGGAGCACCAGGACTTGTAAGGTTCTAATATTAAGCACCTGAGGAGGGAAGGGAACAGGTAATAGAAAAACCAACAGCTTTTCATCATAAAGCACTTAAAAGTTGTGTTGTAGGTATTCTCCATTTCTGGCATCAGTAAGCTATGCTGGAAGAACTGGAAAATAAATTTTGTAAGATTATCTAGTATAAGTACTGGATATGTAGATTATCGCTAATTATTATGTAAACATTGTTGCCGTTATATATGAGATATAGTTAACAATCACTTTTTGTATCACTTACAACATTGTGAGTGAGAATTGCAAGCAGGTCTGGTAGTGCTGCTGGGTGCTAAGACCTTCCAGCATGCTCCTTAATAAGTCTTGGTTTTGCTTCTGATGTTGTATCTTAACTTTAACTTTTTGAGTTGAAATTCTCCATTCCTATAATGTCTGCTTCAAAATTTTTAACCACATAAAAGTAAATCATAGAAAAATATTTTGTTTGGTCTGCCTTAAAAAAAGATTCCAAAACCAGTATGATAAATCTTCCTGTTTTTGAGAGGGCTAGTGCAAAGCTTTTCAAACCGTGGATCAAAATCACAAAAGGAGTAGAGAAAGATTTTGAGAGAGAGACTGTTAACTGCTAGAAAAAGCTTAAGTACATTTAAGTTACTCCTCTCTTATGTGGTTGGCTGCATAACGATGGCAAGTCAGAAGTAGGGGGAGGGAAAATCACACTTATGAAGTTTGAGAAGCACTATTTTAACTCTTCATCTCAAGAGCTCCACGCTCTTGAGAAGCCATCTGAAGGTCTAAGCTGGTGCTGATCTGAGAGGGGAGTTGTACTAACAACCTCCAGAATCCCCTTCCAGCCTGCATCACTCTACAACTGTAAGTTGTCAGAGGATGGCCTTTGGCAAGGCAGACACAACCATGGGCCTGAACAGGAGAGACCATGTAACCACGTAGCTACCAGTGTATCAGCAGGCACAGGGGCACGTATGTAACCACTTGGCAATATTCATTAAAACAAGGAGCGGGGAAATGTCCACTGTCTGCTAATATCGACATACCTGCTGGCATCCTCGGGAAAATCAGCCTGAATTTGCCCAAGCTGTAAGTGTTGGAAAACAATATAGTTTGTCATTAAAGCTTTTCTAGATTTTGATAGCTACTCATTCCAGTGATTCTGCCCACACACTAAGCCTAAGCCTGCTCTAATTTGGATGTTCCCAGCAACTGCAGGTCTTAAGCTGCTGTTGCTGACGATACCTTCAGGTCTGAACACCTTAAGTGATTTGGGCAGACTGAGACCGCTGTCCTAGAGCGAGAAGGTGGATAAGGGAATGCCCTTGGGAGCAGGGCCTTCTCCGAGCTTAGAGACAGCAGCCTGGGAGGGTAGCAAAGACGACTTCTATGATTCTTTCTAAATCCCAGAAAACCAAAAAACCAAAAAGGTAAAGAAGTTGAATACTGTAAATTATTTTTTTTTCCTTTTGTTTTAAATATCTGTGCTGTGACACAGATATAGTGTGCAGTGTGTTGCATCACTGCTTAAATCGTGACTTTTTGAAAGCTACTTTTTATAACTGAACTGGACAATTTCAGCTTCACATCATTTTTAGTGAAGTCATGGAAAATAAGCAGCACGTACTCACCTCCATAGGAAAGAGGAATAAATTATTGAATGACAAGTTAAGGTTGATCAAAGTGTCCATTAAAGGGGTCAGGTCTGGAAGGTGAAACAGAAAGTAGGCCTAAAAGATACATAAAAAACAGGTCAGCTGCACAAAAAACCTCTCTGTCTTCATTTAAATGCGCAAAAAGTAACATCCTTAAGAACAGCCCCTCAGGACTCACAAATCTATCATTAAACAAAGCCAGAAATACCATAGCCTGATTGCCAAGGATAGAGTCAGATTAGGCAAAGACATGCCTGAAGGCCGTATTAGCAACTCAAAGCCCAGCCCACCTTGCCCTTACCTTGACTGTTCATCAAATCCAAATCATCATGCCTTTCCATCAAGTACAAATAACTGGTTCGCTTTTTCAAGGGTGGACTTTCTGTTTACAGCTGGTAAATGTATCCACTCAGGGAGCAATCCCTGGCCACAGGTATCATGGTACAGACTGGCAAAATGTGCACACTGCCTGGACTTACCTGCTTGAGAGCAGACTGTTTGCCTACATACTGCATAGCCCTTGGCCATGGTTCTCCCCTCTGCTGTAATGCAAAATTATTATTTTGCAAATGTTTGTTTTCAGGTCAGAGACTGAAATAATGTGAGGACACTTCCTAAAACCAGTCAGATTGGTGTCTGTATGGTGTGACACAATGGCCTATAGGAGGACAGAGTATGGCAAGTCCTGAAGCAGTCAATGAGTATGGAAAGGGGAGCAGAATCAGGTGCAGTCTTGTCTACGCTGCTTACTAGGTTGAGCCCTTGCGGTGAACCAGCCCCAGCATTACCCTCACGTTTTCTTGCAGAGGGAGCCATTTTCTCACACCAAGAAAAACTGGGAATGAATGGATATTTATGCAATGCGGATGATCAGGGAACCAACACATAATAGGAGCACGAACACATTGACACAGAAAATCTATGCCTGCAATCACCAAGAGCACCAAGGTTTTCTCTCTCAGTAGTGCCCTTGGTTCAGGCTACTTTCCTAACTGTGTGATGAAGTTAAGTGCTGCAGTTCTGTGGCTGCCCCTGAGCCCTGAGATTTTGGGCTCCCATTTTCTTCTTATCCCACCCTCCAACTTTGTTCAAACTGTACTAGATTTCCCCCTCTGACCTTCCTAAGGTGCAGCAGCCTCTCAAGTCATTCCTAGCTCTGGAATGTACGCATCTTGCAGACAGCTGCAATTTAAAACAGCTCCAGAGTCCAGGCAGTGAAACTCTTTTTTATTTTATTGTTCCTTTACTAAATTCTTTCTTTCTTTCATTTCTAACCTAGGAAATTCTATACAAAGAACTCTGCTAGGGGAACACTACTTCTGCATTATGATGACTCCTTTCAGAAAAATACAATTTTATTATTACACACACAGCCTTAAACTACATAGATTGCGAGATACTATTTAATTACAGTGCCAAATATAGTCTCAAAGACACTATAATATATATAAATCTAATATCTATTTCCTTGTAAGCTAAACTTCATTAGTCATTTTCATGATAGATATACAGTAAAGCGTATCTACATAACATCTACTAAATATTAAATTGCCTGTAGTCATGTCAAATCTAAATCTAAGAGTTACAATACAATACAATATTAAAGTTATAATAAATTGTTACACAGACATCAGTAAAGAAGATTATTATAATGAAATTAGACTTAAATACTGCACGGGAATTTAGAATTTGCATAGAATCCTGCAGTCTTGGTTTTGCAAGAAAAATAATGCTTCATCTGAAGATTTCCCAGGGCAATAGTAGATGACTGAATTCAGATTAAAACAGAATTTTCAGTGTTTCAATAAAAAAATACAAAAAATTAAAGTTTTTCTGGAAAAAAAAAAAAAGATTTTTTTTGTAAAAATCTGCAAGGCCTGGGCCTGGGCCTGGGCCAAGGCAGGAGGGCCAGCAGTCAGTAAGCCTGGAGAAGCAGAGCATCTCTGGCTTTCTTCCCTTCTCCAGAGAGTGCTCTGGAGGCAGCAGCTCCTGGGCTCAGGGTACAAGGGGAATGTGTGACTCTTCAGCCACATTCCCCAGTCAGATATTCTTTGACTCATCCAAGGAAAAGATGGTGGGCTGGATGTTTTGGTTTCTAGTCTGACAATGGGGATCACAAAAGCTTAAAAACAGAGCAAATTTGAGGTGGGGTTTCTCTAACAACAACAGCAGACGTAGTCATAAATCACTTAGTTAAAGGATTGCTTTGGCTAGAGCTTGTAATTACATCTTCAAGCACAGAAGCGTGACTTACTGCAGTGCTGCATGAAAACCTGTTTTCATGTCTAACACATTTCTGAGACACTGAAAAATAATTCCCGTTCCCAAAAGACAGTAAAGCCAATAAGATTTAGGATTGTTTTAGACTGGGCAAACTGAAATAACTGGACGACTTAGGAATATTGTGTATTATGATTTAAACTTTTTATGACTCTACATTTCTATTTTACTAAATAATCCAACATTTCAAAGGAGGGGTGCCTTAAACAAATAAAAGATGTGTTTTGCAAAATATAAATAAAGACATTTAAAAAGACAATTGAAGGTGTTAATGAATTTTATAATTCAATTTCACTGGAAAATTTTTGACTGTTTTTTAATGGTGACCAAGAAGTAGGTGGAACACCAGAGTGCATACTCCGAAATGAGGCCTCTTGCCTATTTTCATTTTGCTATTACAGTTCTGCACAGCTCTGGGTATGGATCCTGCAATTCCTTCACACACACATCTTCACCACCATACAGCAAAGCAGCACATAGCTGACCCAGCCTTCTGGAATTTTTGGACACAGTACGTTTCCAGGAACAGAATCCCAGCCTCAGCAAAGCCTAAGGACTCTCAGTTCTTCTATAGATAAAAAGAATGCAATATGACAAATCTTCTTCGCCATTATTGGAGGCTTCAGCAAAGCTTCAGAGATCATTCCATTAGATGATCCACAAAGATATAAGACATGTCAATACTGTGTACTGAAGTGTCTCAGATAGCGGTGAGGAAACTCTAAAAATAACCAAAGTCAGCTTGCTCCAGAAAAGGAAGTAGTGTAACCACACCAGTACAGTGCTGTGCATGGGCTGAGGGCATAGCTTATTAGCTTGTGTGTACTGAGTTGGCTATCCTGCAACGCCAGTCTGTGTCTCTCTGCGTGTTGCTCCTTCTTGCTATTTGGATGCATCAGCACACCCAAGGTTAGCCTGGAGCTCTCTGCAACCTGCCTCAGGTGAATAGGCCCTCATAAGGTAGCAACCATGCTGTGGTATGTAAGTGCTTTTAAGTAACTTCAAATAATTTAAGTAGCTAGCCCTGCTTCCTCCTCCCCCGCCCCCCCCCAAAAAAAAAAAAAAAAAAAGGATGAAGCACAGCAAGGAAGATTGGTCATCAGTGATGACCATGAATCAAGAACTCTTTGGTAGGTGGAAAGACCTGACTGTCTACAAGACTAGTCTTTATCCAGTGAGACCTCTCAAAAAGTCAGAAAAATGACAGTAGTGTCAGCAAATAATTCTCTTAATAAACTCTAGGTGAAGCATAGATAGGTTGAATAAAATAGGAGGAGGGGTCATTTGAGGATCTTAGCTCGCAGACGCTGAAGTGCAGAGTAGCTCCATTGACTTGGATGCTTCAGAGATGATTTACACAGTTGAGGAGCTTATATACTGTACACTTTTCAGCAAAGAGAAAAAAGCTCTATAAATACTTTTCTCTATACCAACATAAGGGTATTGTTGGCAAGAAAGTGAAAAGTCAATAATCGTTTTTTATAGTACTCAGAACTCCCAGCACTGTTTGCTCACGATGGTGGTTCTGGAATTTCCATCTCTGTCATTGCCAGTTTCCATTTTGGTGATGCTTTTGCAGAAATGGATAATAAAGTGACATAATCTGTGTGATTTGATAACGAAACTTCTTAAACATATGGTACCAAAGAATCTCACAATAAATAGGAATCAGATGGACAAAGTTTGTACCATATTGCTACCGGTAAACAATGTGGGCTACTTCTTAGCACATCTTACAAACACAGTCATGTGACAGCACAACATTTTCAGATACAGCACAACATTTTCAGATACAGAGAAGCTCATTGTGAATACTGACATTTCAAAGGTTTTCTAGATGATAGAAAAAGAAAGAAAATCAATAACAGCAATTCTTTCAAGATCACATTAAAAGGGATTAAATACTTAAGGTTAATTTACACAGAGGATTTGCTTAAGACTGAGGTGCGTTTAAAGTACAACGTATCCGGCTGTACAATTTGTATCAAACATATGTATGTATGTATGTATGTATGTATGTATGTATGTATGTATATGCAAATAGATAAAGAATAGAGTTTATATTTTATGAACTAGCTAGTCTTGATCTCAGAAACAAACGACATGGAATTATTCCCAAAATCCCTGATCAATTATTCCCGATCCACCCTCTGACTGGATATATTTATTTTGAGATCCTAATGTCCATTCACCATATCCAGTCCCTATATTCAAGGAGGATTTTGCTTCTCCAGATAGCAACTCCTACTGCAATGAAAGCAGACAGTGGGGTGAAGGCTACAAACCATTTATACAAAAGTGGCTTAGAAAACCATTTCCTTATAATAGCTGGTCAGGACTTGTGTCCTCCAGGAGGGCAGACATGTAAATTCAGGCAGAGTCCCACATGGGAGCTTCCCTTTGGTCGAAGCCTTCTGAGGCTCTTTCAGTTAGGAGACTACAACTGCTGGTCCAGACCCATCAAGGGACAACGTTTAGACTAGCCGGGTAGATTCCCTGAAACCCAAACTTTTAAATCTCTGGCTTCTTAACAAAAGAAAGAAGCACCTTTTCCTACTTTCCAAATCTCACCACACCTATGCATGGTACTACTGTAATTTAGGTTGAATTACAAACACATAGGCAGGAAGAATAATGCTGAGTAAGTGCCATGCAAATTATGCAAGGCGTATCAGAAAATGAGACACTCACAGTAAAAGTACAGAGGAAATAGGGAAAGGAGGCGAGAAGAAAGGAAATAAGAAACAAACAATGGAGAATTTAAGGCAGCAAAACTGCAGAAGAAAAGCATGTAAAATAGCCATTGCTACAGCTACTCTAATGTTAAAAAAAAGTTTAAAATCATTCTAAGCACTTCTTTTCTAATGCAACTGTATAGTAAGTATTTTAAGACCATCTTTATGTGGATGAGGTTATGAAGCCAAAAGATATTTTGAATGAAAGCTACTATTGACTATTAAACACAGCAATATGAGCAATGCATCTTTAAAGGATATACCTGAAGGTTAAGAGCAAACTTCTGATACAATAGGCAACGCAATACTTCTAGCTGGGACCTGGCCATCAATTCCTCTTCATCTTGCTTGCTTACTGTAACCTGGAGACTAGTTTTCCGAACGTCCTCCACATTATTGCCATCAGGGACATCATTAGCCTCTATTACTAAAAAAAGGATGTCAGACATTACAGAATTTCTTAGGGAAAAGTAAATATTAGAAAATAAAAACCGAATGAAAGGTGTTCTGCAAATGTCCTAAATCTAATCCTTCAGATCCTGTTACTATACTCAGACAAAACTCTCACATACTAATCAATTAACTTATGAATATCTGAATAAAAATTGCAGATTCTTTATAAATAATTCCTTTTTTTTTTTTTGATAGAAGAAGAATAAGACTCCATGTACAGAAAAAAAGGGGCCTAGGAGCCAAGTTGGACTATGGCCTACAGTAATGGCAGTAGTTTGCCTTCCTCCATAATTACATTTTGCAATGGTACAGATTGCAAGGTTTTCATTGTGTTGCAACGTTCTCAACCCAAAAGAGTTCAGCAATGGCTTTCAGGTCTTGGACCTTCAACCTTACCTCACTTCAAATAAATGTTAAGGCAAGACCGGAGATTATTTTTTTATTTTACAATTATATATTTCCACTATTTTGCTAACTCAACAGCATGTAGTGGTTATAGTCCCCTATGTCTACAGGCAGCATGCCGCATTTCTGAGAACCTGATTTCCCACAGTGCCATTTCATGACTGTTGCCCAATGCTGTACACCTAGTTTATCTCACAAAAGTGATATATACCTCTTGTTCCTACCTGTAAAGGGTCCTTCCTCTCTTTTAGATTCAGCTGATGTCAAATAGTGCATAGTATCTGCTTTTTCTTTGTTTTCTTCTGGTGAATCACATTTTCTCATTTTCTCTTCCAAGGCTATTTCTAAAGAGAAGTACAAGATAATAGTGGAAGACATTCTGCACACACAAGAAACAGATACCTTTATACATAACGCTCATATGGCTCAGAATCTTATTGCACAAAAGTCCTGTATATTATTCAACCACAGCAAGAAAGATATTGTAACATAACAGCTTAATTTTAAACCTCTGCTTCTACAGCTTCAAAAAAGATATAGAATCATTGAGTAATTCAGATCGGAAAGGATCTATGGGAGGTCACCTGTTCCAACCCCCTGCTCAAGTCAGGTTGCTCAGGACCTTGTCCTGTTGAGTTCTGAATAACTCCAAGGATGGAAAACCCCATAACCTCTCTGGGCAACCTGTGCCAATGTTGGACCAGCCTCATGGTGAGAAGGTTTTCCTTTATACCTAGTCAGAATTTCCCATGTTCCAACTTGTGTTTGTTGCTGCTGGTCTTATCACTGTGCACCTCTGAGAAGAGTTTGGCTGTAGATGGATGTGGATGGCAGTAGGATCTCCTGTTATCCATCTTTTCTTAAGGCTCAGCTCTCTCGGTCTTTCCTTGTATGTTGTGATCTCTAGTCCCCCCGACAATCTGTCAATATCTGTCTTATACTGGAGACCCCCAAACTGAACACAGTAGTCCACGTGTGGTCTTGCAAGAGCCAAATACTGGATAATAATCACTTCCCTTCACCTGCTGGCCATACTCTTGCTTATATAGCCTGGTATGTGGTTAGTCTTTGCTGCAAGGGCACAATGCTGGCTCATGTTCAAATTGTCATCCCCTCAGCACCCCTTTTCTGCAAAGTCGCTTTCCAGAGGGTTGGCCCACAGTTGTATTGGTGCATGAGGTTATTCTCTCCCAGGACATCCAGGACATCTGGGCCTAAGATTTTGTAGTTTATCATGAAGATGTTCATGCTGTCCACAATCCAGATATGAAATAGTTTCACATAAAAAGCATTCTTGGCTTTAACATTTGAGCTTAAATAATAATATGCTTGTCCAGTACCAGGAGATGAACAAATATATTACTTAACAGCTGTGTACACTGAACTTACTGGTTCCCTTAGTCAGCCTCAGGTATCTCTTTTCTCTCAGCCATAATCACCACATCTCCATCTCTAGTGTGAGCAACCCGTATACAGCCTCAGCACTGGCCACAGTGAACAGCTATGAGTTTCTGTGCTGAGAACAGAACTGCAATGGTTTGCTGCTTTTTACACAGTTCTGCAGTTGATCATGGGTACGTAACATAAAGTGTTAGCCAGCAAATGACAATGCAAAATTATGTTTTACTGTAAAAGGCCCAAAAGTAGCTATCTATTTTGTGCTTGATTCATTCCACCCATCTTGGATGTCTACCTTGAGATAGGAAAAAATGCCCTCTGGAAGTTTCTGTCCCTCTCTTCACAGGTTAGGGAAGAAACATGCATTACTAGTTGTGAATAAGTGATTAACTTCAGGGAGTTGAAGTTAGGTGAGATGATTTCCCTGTTCTGAGGTTTCAGTTAGATCTGATGGAGTCTGCCTCGCTGTCATTGAACGCAACAGTGGTTTGCTAACGTCACAGAATTTTTTAAAAACAATTTTGGGCCACATCCAGAGACTGGAAAAAGAAAGGATGCACCTGCCAGAGAAACACAGGGAGAAGGGGACACTACAGCATCTGCTACTCCCAACTCTGATGAACTCCCTGAAGGGGACAGGAGAGGCTGAGACAGGGCCTCAGGAAATGCTTTGGTCTATTACAGTTTTCCTCTTTCAATGTTACTGAAAAGAAACACATCAAAATATCCCTCTAAGAAAATACCTTTTCAGGGGGGATGAAACTTCCACATGTTCTCATCCACTTCCCACAAACCACCTTTCTAGCCCTTAATGACAGAGCAGCTGTTTTCCTACCCATGCAAAGGGTTTGGATGAGTGGTGTGGTCAAATTACACAGAGTCTGCAGAAAAGCCTGTGGCAACCTTACAGTGCTGCTTTTAGCCTTTCACAGGTTTGGGTAAACTGGATACAAGTAGGAACATGAACCCTACAGCAAGGTGTCCACCTCTGCATTTCATCAGAAAATCTGAACGTTTACTTTCTCTTCTGATAGGCAGCACATACCTCACACTCTGAACGCAGCACAATGGAGTTCTTCCCAGTGGAGTGGCTGCACTACAGAACCACACTTTACCAATGAGAACCGCCACAGAATCACATCCTCTGTGCCAAAGTGATGGAGAAAGCACACACAAAACTAAAATGTGACAAATAGTTGAGATCGTGCATTTTCACTTTTCACATCATTACCACACAGCACAGTCCCACTTCCACCATGTGAATGATTTCTAGTGGAGGTGCAGAAATAACTGGGTGCCTGCTTCCAGACCAACACCACAGAGGGATGAGGCAAACACTTTTCTCCATGAGTTACAGAGTTACCTGCTAGCCAGTAGTGGAGAACTGATACCTAAGAATTCTACATTTAAGACCTGGCTCTCAGAAAGGGAAGGGATTGACTTCATGCTAGGTAATCAGAAAATGTGAGATTTTGGGAGCACCTCCATGCCCCTAAATCCAGGTGTGCAACTCAGCTTCACTGTTAATGCATTTCGGGGCAGGACCCATGGAAGTCCTTCCTCTACTATTGTTGCGCTGTTTCTACTGGAAGGAAACCTGGCTGCAGGTTGCACTGGTTGAGAAAGCTGTGGTGTGCTACAGGTAGTCCCCTGGGAAGGCAGGACTGTGGAGGTTTT